TTGATTCATTATTTACAAAGAAAATTGAAAAAAACTGTTTTTGACGTTACGGAGTAAATTTTTTCTTGAAATACAATGCTGATTTTTATATAAATAGGACAGTTTTAAAAAAAGTGTAATTGTTACTTCCTTTACTGATGTTTTTGAGTATAATATCCAATAATTTAAAATATTTTAAAATGTTACAATCAATTTCTATTTAAATAATTTCTTGCGATTGCTTAGTTTAAACAGTGTCCAAAAATATATAAAATTAACATATTAATATGTCTTTGAAAAAAAGTGTCCCACTGTTTGTCACTCTCCCCTATATACATATATACAGATATATGAATATTTATTTTTATTCTTAAAACAAAAAGGAAGAAGATTAAGATTTTAGACGAAGATGTTCTTATGCCATTTTCAATCGTCTAGATAGAGAAACGCAATGTTAAACGAAGAAGTACTTATGTTATATTCCTTGGTGTAAGAAAGAAAGGTATGCGTTACCTATTCAGTTTTAGAATTTCTTTATAGTTTTTTCACGTGATAAAGGGAGAAAGAAATTATTACCTGGGTCCTCAGAGTTATTAATTAATCCTCTTTAAAAGATTGCAGGTCAAGCGAACCCTCATTTGCAAAATAAAGATATATCTTTCTCTCTCCATAACTTGTTCTTTTCTCTGTCACCGAAAACCCAGCAGGGGTCCGGACGGAATGAATGAATGAATGAATACCAAGATTATTTATTTAACTAGCAACTTTGTCGTCCGCAAGCGGCCGACTACGTTGCTAGTGTGCATTAACCATATTTTTTATTCATTTTTTTCAAAAAAATTTAATATTAGAAATGTAAAAAAAAATTCTTTATATTGGATCTACCACCCAAGTAGCACGGTATATTGCTTGAATGTCAAGCTGATATCAACCGGAAAAATTTTTGTGACATTTAGGCGATATCATAATGTCCTCTTCACGGGGACATTCCTCCGTGATGTATCTATGGGACGGTCTTTCACACAAAAAATGTAACGCGTTACAAAACTTACATTCTACATTTATTAAACCTAAATAATTCTGTGGAACTTTACTTTCATCTAAATCTTCAAAAGACATTATTGCAACTCCTGCACTTTTTTTATTCCAATTATCGTTTTTACATGTCAAATTCTTTTCTTCACACATTCCTTTCATCTTTCTTCTTCTTACATGACAAATTATTTTCTTGATGCACTTTCTTTTCATCTTGAGTTTCCATTGATATTTTTCTTTTCCTACATGCCAAATTTTTATCCTTGTGTATTTTCTTTCCATCTTTAATTTTTATAGATAATTTCTTTTTTTGCATGTCAAATTTTTTTTGCGCTCTTTCTATTTTATTTCTGATTTATTACGATTACGTTTTCTCAATCTCTCATTCTCCTGTCTTATTATTTTCTGCTCATATGAAACTTCGCGCCTTGCCTTCCTTTTTCTTCCCTTCTCTTTAATTGCTCGATTTATCTTTTTATCATTTTCTTTACTCAGAAAATTTTTCATTTTTAAATATTCATGTGGTGAAATTTTGTTCACCTTATTATCAGTTGTACGAATTATTTTCTTTTCACCAGTGTCATTTAGAGAATGTTTAATTTTTAAATCTTGTGTTAATAGAACTCTGTTAATATTATTACTGGGAATATAATTACTAAAAATATAATTTTTATGTTCCTGTGTTCAATTTATGAAAAGATGGTTCTAATCATTCTCTATTATCGAATTCCTATTGTGAGACGTTCTTACTGTCGGAAAATGATTTAAGCGATTATTTTCAAACATTGGCTTAAAATTGTTTCTCATTTTGTTATTATCAGTTTCATAATTTACACGGTTTGGCATTACGTTAAATAATATAGATGTTGCAAATGCTATTGCATATACTCCACACTCAGCACTACCAAAAGGTTGTTGATCAACAGCTTCAAAAACTATAAAGTATTTGAATATGATTATCACCGTCTCTAATTGGGACAATAAAATCAAGCATTTGTACATACAAAAGAATCTTTTCTTAATAAATCTTCAAATTTGTACATATGCATGTAATTTAACAATTTATTTCTATTTTCAATAATTTTTAAATCTTTATCACTTAAAATAATATACTCTTTTATGTTGGCCATAGTATACTTCGTTTAATTTTATTTTTGATTCATGAAAATCTAAATATCTTTAACCCTTTTGCTCACTCCCTGTAATATAACCAATTTTGCCTTTTATTAAATATAACCAATTTTGTCTTTAATTCAATACAACCAATTTTACCTTTTATTAAATATAACCAATTTTTCCTTTAATTCAATACAACTAATTTTACCTTTTACTAAATATAACCAATTTTTCCTTTAATTCTATATAACCAATTTTTACTTTAATCCAATATAACCAATTTTGCCTTTTATCCAATAAAACTACCGTATATCCAAATGAATGAGAGAACTATGTGTAACTATGAATCAGTAACTACTGATCAGCCAATAAGTGCAAAAAGGACACTCTTATATGAGTAATCAGTAGTTTATTATAAATAACATATATACGTATTCATAACTGTATTAAAACCCCGGAAAAAATACCATAAAAAAACCAGCCATTGGACAATAGAACCTTTGTTAATGAGGATTAACTCTAGAGGACCCAGCTAATAATTTCTTTTTTCACATTTATTATATAGAAAAATAAAGATGTACCAACCCTTGGCCAATAGAACCTTTGTTAATGAAGATTAACTCTGAGTACATAATGAAATGTACTGTAGGTTTACATTGACATCGGCACGTCTGACGTCTCGAAATTTTTTCCGTGTATTATCACATGGAAATATAAAGATAAAAGGCAAAAACTGAAGAGGTAATGTATATCTTTCTTTCTCACATCAAGGAATATAACATATAAACATTTTCATTTAATATTGCATTTCTCTATCTAGAGGATTCAAAATAACATAAAAATATCTTCGCCTGAAAATCTTACTCTTCTTTTTTTCTGTTTTCAAAATAAAAAAAAATATGTATATATACCAGTATTAGACCCTCAGAACAATTACCACAAACATTACCTATCCTTGGACAATAGAGCCTTTGTTAATGAAGATTAAGTCTGAGGGGCCAGGTAATAATTTTTAAATTTTTTTATTAAAATTTTCTGGGGCTCTAATACAGGTAGGGAAGAGTGATAAACAGTGGCACAGTTTAAACAGTAGGACACTTTAATTTTCTGGAAAACTACTTAAAGAAACTCGACCAAAATTTAAATGTAAAGCATGTTTATGACAACACACTATCTCCAAAAATTTTAGCCACATTGATTCATTATTTACAAAGAAAATTGAAAAAAACTGTTTTTGACGTTACGGAGTAAATTTTTTCTTGAAATACAATGCTGATTTTTATATAAATAGGACAGTTTTAAAAAAAGTGTAATTGTTACTTCGTTTACTGATGTTTTTAAGTATAATATCCAATAATTTAAAATATTTTAAAATGTTACAATCAATTTTTATTTAAATAATTTCTTGCGATTGCTTAACTTAAACAGTGTCCAAAAATATATAAAATTAACATATTAATATGTCTTTGAAAAAAAGTGTCCCACTGTTTGTCACTCTCCCCTATATACATATATACAGATATATGAATATTTATTTTTATTCTTAAAACAAAAAGGAAGAAGATTAAGATTTTAGACGAAGATGTTCTTATGCCATTTTCAATCGTCTAGATAGAGAAACGCAATGTTAAACGAAAAAGTACTTATGTTATATTCCTTGGTGTAAGAAAGAAAGGTATGCGTTACCTATTCAGTTTTAGAATTTCTTTATAGTTTTTTCACGTGATAAAGGGAGAAAGAAATTATTACCTGGGTCCTCAGAGTTATTAATTAATCCTCTTTAAAAGATTGCAGGTCAAGCGAACCCTCATTTGCAAAATAAAGATATATCTTTCTCTCTCCATAACTTGTTCTTTTCTCTGTCACCGAAAACCCAGCAGGGGTCCGGACGGAATGAATGAATGAATGAATGAATGAATGAATACCAAGATTATTATAGTTAATAATAATTATAAACATTTTAAATATTAACATTTTTAATTCGAACAACATATGCTCGTAATCGTGAAATTACGAGGAATCAGAATATGTTAAAAAAAATTAAAAATTGTTAATATTTAAAATTTTTTTATTTTTTTGGAAAAACTCATTAAGGGCCATAAATAGAAAATGTCATTAGGCCCGAGAACGTCGCTTAGGCCCCCCGCGGTGCATGCGTCCCTCGAGCTCCGTGTTTATGGCTTGGCGGGTAGAGTAGGGATATGCAACTTCCCCTTACAGGACGCAATCGATGATCGTCCTATTTACAAAGAAAATTGACAAAACTGTCTTTGACGTCGTTCCGGAGTAAATTTTTTCTTGAAATACAATGCTGATTTTTATATAGATAGGACAGTTTTAAAAAAAGTGTAATTGTTACTTCGTTTCCTTATGTTTCTAAGTATAATATCCAATAATTTAAAATATTTTAAAATTTCACAAACAATTTTTATTTAAATAATTTCTTGCGATTGCTCAATTTCAACAGTGGGACATGAAACACAGGGATAGGCAAAAATTTTAGTTTATGAAACGTGGATTTTGGCAACACTAATTATAAGTTGTGTCAGCTATACGCATGCGCATTTATACTTACACAGCGACTAAAAATGTGATTTTTTTATGCTAAAAAACATTTAAAAATTCAAAAATTTATAATTGATAATTATTACAATTGTTGTTCGGCAACATTTAAAAAGTAACACTTGATAAGAGAACGACTATTCAAATTTTCCTCCAAATTGTTTTTAGGTTATGACCAAATTATAACGTATGATCAGCAGTATTGTAAACATAAAAAAAATAATAGCAATTTTTCATATGAAAATTGACATTGTATTATAAAAATGTAAAATATTATTAAATTATGAGTGCTTTGCAACATTTGTTAACGTTATTTAATGCAAAACATATATATTTACAAAGTATATGAAGCAGAATATTATTATTCAAACAATTATTCATTTTTTAATAACGGGTTTCCCGCACTGTTTAACAGAAACCTTCAAAACAAGAAAAATTCCAAAAACTTGAAATTTTTCTATTTAATCACAATATAATTTAAATAGAATATATGGATTATGTAGAAAAGAGTTCAAACTTTATTGTAATATACCAAAAAGTGTCCAAAAATATATAAAATTGACATATTAATATGTATTTGAAAAAAAGTGTCCCACTGTTTGTCACTCTCTCCTATATACATATATACAGATATATGAATTTTTATTTTAAAAACAAAAAGGAAGAAGATTAAGATTTTAGACGAAGATGTTCTTATGCCATTTTCAATTGTCTAGAAAGAAAAACGCAATGTTAAACAAAGAAGCACTTATGTTATATTCCTTGGTGTAAGAAAGAAAGGTATGCAAAATAAAGTTTTAGACTTTCTATATAGCTTTTTCACGTGATAAAGAGAGAAAGAAATAATTACCTGGGTCCTCAGAGTTATTTATTAATCCTCTTTAAAAGATTGCAGGTCAAGCGAACCCTCATTTGCAAAATAAAGATATATCTTTCTCTCTCCATAACTTGTTCTTTTCTCCGTCACCGAAAACCGAGCAGGGGTGCGGACGGAATGAGTGAATGAATTAATACCAAGATTATTATAAGATAATAATAATAATAATGTAATAGTCAAAAGGTGCTTATATACCTCAAATTTCGATCAGATGAACATTATTTCTGGACCGTGAAAATGCGTGAAAAGTCATTTTCACGGCGGGTATTTTTGAATTGTTTTAAACAAAAAATGTTTTTTTTAAGAAATATAATATTAAATAATTGTTTTAATATGTAAGAACACTTTAAAATAGTGATAAAAAGATGATTTGATTGAAAAATTTAGCAAATTTTGCTTTAAAACGTTTCTGCTACAAGAAAGTGTAAAATGACGATGTTTGTGAAATGGTTTCTACAGTGTACATGTGTACATGTTTCTTTCAGTTATTCGAAACAATTAGTTGAATTTAAATTTATTTGATAAACATTTCAACTTACCGATTTATTTTCAGCACTCATTATTTATTACAAGTTAAAAAGAACCGACATAACATAAACAAAACTCTGAGAGACACTAACAAGGAAAAAGCACTGTAAAAACCATTTCACAAACATCGTCATTTTACACTTTCTTGTAGCAGAAAACGTTTTAAAGCAAAATTTGCTAAATTTTTTAATGAAATCATCACTCTATCACTATTTTAAAGTGTTCTTAAATATTAAAACAATTATTTAATATTATATTTCTTAAAAAAACATTTTTTGTATAAAACAATTCAAAAATACCCGCCGTGAAAATGACTTTTCACGCATTTTCACGGTCCAGAAATAATGTTCATCTGATCGAAATTTGAGGTATATAAGCACCTTAATTCCATAGGTAGTAAATTAATTTTGTATTCTTTGAATCACATTTAGATATAGTTCTTTTCCCTAACGCTAGAGTGAAAGTGGCGCTGTACCAAGTTATCAGTGTACCCAGCATAATCACTGTGGTACGCACGAGTGGGTCGATTCAATCGTGCCTCGTAACGCGAGTGAATGCTTAGTGGTGGCGCATAGAAGCTTCCGTATACATACGTAAGCCTGTACGGTTCACGAGCGTCTCGGACGCAAGTGGCGGTGTTTCGTACCACAAGTGGCACGAAGTCCGTCCAACTTGTGGCAAGTTCGTTAGTTCGTGCCACTTGTTGGACAGACTCCGTGCCACTTGTTTTTTTGTTTTGTTTTGTTTAAATGGCCTCTTGTATAGACAAATAGCCAGTACTAAAAGTCACTTCCAGTAATAAAAGATAATGAATGTCACTAATAATGATTAATTATTTGAGATTTTGGTATACAGTTAATTTTCACGAACACTGTTTTAACGATAGTATTTATGGGTAATCCAAGGCATTAAACCAGTCCAGGATTTTAAGCACAGATAAAGTGCAGTTCACTGCAGTGTATTATTGTCTACGTAGCAAGGCAGTCAGGTTGTGACTGTGCCATTAGCCTCTATATCGTGTGAGGCGATTATTGTCCATTCCAATATACGAATTCAGTAAAGGTTAGATGTATATGCGGCGTTTAATAGTTACATATTGCTGCTTAAGGGAAAAGGATTTGAGGGAAATTCACAGTAATATCTCAATAAATAAACTTAGATTGAAGTTTTGAGAAGACTATAAAATTATTCCACTATCCTTAAATAATTTGCCAATTTCAATTACGGAATTTAAAGTTGGCTTAAAAATTAAACTGTCCAGATTAAAATTCAAAATTTTAGAGGACAAATAAGAGAAAAATGCAGGCCTAGAAGGAGATAGTAGAGGACAATAACTTAATAAATGACGGAGGCTTTTAAACTCCTCGCCACACTGACAATTCAGAGGAAGAGTCTAATTCATTCTAGAGAAATGCTCTCCCGTACATATGTGACCAGATCTCAATCTTGTAATTAAATTAATATATCTTCTTGGCACATCAATGCCGCCAAACCAGGGTCTTACAGATTTGATATTAACTTTTTCAAAATAGGGATTACGGGATATATTAGAACCAAAAAAGGGCCATAATTTATTTGTCCACGATATTAGATCAGATCTCAACAATGAATAAAAGTCTCTCATTGGAGCACCCGCAAAATTACCTATAGGTAAATTGTAGGACTCTTTAGCCAATTTGGCAGCTTTTTCATTGCCTACAATACCCTTATGTGATGGGACCCACATAAATTGGACAAGACGACCCTCGTTAATCAACTCTAGTGTAATTTTAACTATTTTAAGTATAATGGGATGCGGCTTAAGAAGTGAAAACCTATTTCCAATGTCACTCAGTGAAGTTCTCGAGTCAGATACTATAATTATCTTATTTAATTGAGTAGATCTTATGAATTTCAATGCAGACAATATACCGTATAATTCACAGGATTCAGCAGACATGACTCCACTGAGTTTGACTGAGAAATCAAGATTCATAGAGGGAACATGATAGCTTGCTCCAGAAAGACTCCTAGTTGGGTTATGCGAACCATCAGTAAAGATGTGCACATAATCCTTAAAAGAGGAGTTCATAAAAAAATCAAAAGTTTCACATGGATTAACACTAGATTTAACTTCCAAACCGGAGTCCACATCAATCGAAATATCAAATGTAAGCTCACGCCAAGAAAAATCAAAAAAATTAGGTTTTTTTGTTCTACCACATTTATTGAGCATAACCCCAACATCTATATATGCTTCAAGTAAAGAAAACTTTGTTTTTCGTAAGACTCCTTCATCCGGAGAACCCGTTCTTCCAAATAAGACTTCATCCAGTAATTGTAGTTTGGGAAATAGGGGGTTGCGAGACCAAGAGATATTTCTAACTATGTGTCTTCTACAGAGCATGGCTCTTCTGAGATGTAAAGGAGGCTCATCAGATTCAGATAATAAAATTGAAGTGGGAGTAGATCGCATGCATCCAAGTACTGATCTTAAGGCAGAGAATTGTATACGGTCTAAAATAGCTAAATTAGATTTAGCAGCTAAAGAAAATAGTTGACATCCCCACTCCAAATGAGCCCTAACAAAACTACGATAAACATTAAGTAATGTAGTTGGATTAGCACCCCAAGAAACCTTAGATAAGGCCCTGATAACACTAATTGCTCTTGTGGCTTTAGCAGCAATATTTTTAATGTGGGGAAGCCATGATAATCTTCTATCTAGAATCACTCCGAGATATTCCATTGGACCACCAACATTAATTCTACATCCATCCAATTCGATATATAATTGATTCAAATCTTGATTTGTTCTAGAAAATGCAATTAGTTGTGATTTAGGAATTGAAATTGTCAAACCCAAATCGACCAACCATTGAGAGACTAATTTGACCGCTTCCTCTAGTCTTTTTATTCCTAACGTTGGATCTCTTAACCTGATATATAGAATCAAGTCATCAGCAAACATAAGCCATTTAACATCATGTGGAATACAAGAATCAATATTGCCAAGAGCAAGGTTAAACAAAAGAGGCGACAAAACGCCACCCTGAGGAACTCCAACACCCGAGAGCCTAAACTCATCAGTATCAGCGAAAAAGAACAGTCTCCTTGAACTCGTGAGAAAAGACACAAAGTTGATGATTCTAGAAGGAGCACCTAAATCTGTCAGTCGATTATAGACAGATTGAGGAGTGATATTATTAAAAGCTCCTTTAATATCAATTGCCAGGGCAATTGTATGTTCCCTCCTAGCAAAACCAATATGTATATCAGTGGTCAAGGTAGAAACGCAATCCATCGATGAAAGTCCCCTACGAAAACCAAATTGGAATCTAGGGATAGCATTGACGGATTCAACATAGTGTTCCAATCTTCTATGGACCATCTTCTCAAAAAGTTTACAGATGTTAGATGTCAATGAAATTGGTCTAAAACCCACTCCACCAGGTTTGGGAATAAATATAACCCTGGCATTTTTCCAGGTATCTGGAAACACAGATTTTGTGAAAAAGTCATTAAAAAGCCGAAGTAAAAGTCTCCTACTAGAGGTGGGCAATTTTTGAAGAATTTCATTTGAAATAGAATCAAGGCCAGGAGATGAATTTTTCTTACATTGAGAAATAGCAGAATGAAATTCTAAATAAGAGAAAGGTTCATTCAATATATTGGGAACTATTGGATCAGGAATTAAAGGTAGATTAATAACAGGAATATTTTCCTGAACCAACTCTTCCTGAAGTTTTTTAAAAACATCAGAGTTAGGGTCATTACAAATTCCTGTCCGAAATGGTTGAAATGCGCTGGAAAATGCCTTGACCTTTCCCCATATTTCTTTAATTCCCATTGAGGGCTTTATATTGTCACAAAACTTAACAAAAGAAGTTTTTTTCTTCTGTCGAAGAAACCACTTAACTTCATTATCAATAGAATTAAATTTTGATAAGAGATCACAATTCTGACATCCCTGGCGGATTGGGAAAACCGAGATGTAACCGAATTGGGTTACGATTCGGTTACGATTCGGTTACGTTTCGGTTCATTGTGAAATATTATCATTAATCGACGAAATATGTAGTAAATAACTATTTGGAATGGTTAATATACATTTAGAGTGCTTATTTATGCAATAATAATAATAAATTAAGATATAATTAATTAATAATAAGTGTTTTAAGTGTACGGTGCATACAGTTGTTAAATTACCATATATATGTATATTACCATCAGCGGCAGCTGTGATACGCGCGTTAAACCCTAGATGGCGTTAAGGATGACTTTGTGAATGAATTTCTAAAATTAAGCCCTTGAGTGTCAAATGTGTAAGTGAATATATATGTTTTAAAAAAATAGATCAATTTATTAAAACAACTTTTTTGATTTGTACAAATATAAGAAAAAAATTTTTATAACTAACAAAAATTTTTTTAATGAGATAAAGTTTTTTTTGTGTCAAAATTAATCTTTCTCATTTCATTGAGAAAAAAATTTTTTTTATTTAGAAAAAAAATTTTTTTAGGGAAAAAAGTTTTTTTATGTCAAAATTAATGTTTCTCATTTCATTGAGGAAAAAAATTATTTTAAGAATAAAAAATTTTTTTGGAAAAATGTTTTTTTCAAAATTAATCTTTCTCATTTTATTGATGAAAAAAAAATTTATTAAGAAAAAAAATGTTTATTTTTGTTATTTGTTTACTTATTTTTATTATATATATTATTATATATTATATATTATTATATATAATAATAATAATTAAACAAAAAAAAACATTTTTTTTTTTAATAAATTTTTTTTTCATCAATAAAATGAGAAAGATTAATTTTGAAAAAAACTTTTTTCCAAAAAAATTTGTTATTCTTAAAAAAAAATTTTTTCCTTAATAAAATAAGAAACATTAATTTTGACACAAAAAAAACTTTATCTCATTAAAAAAATTTTTGTTAGTTATAAAAATTTTTTTCTTATATTTGTACAAATCAAAAGAGTTGTTTTAATAAATTGATCTATTTTTTTAAAACATATATATTCACTTACACATTTGACACTCAAGGGCTTAATTTTAGAAATTCATTCACAAAGTCATCCTTAACGCCATCTAGGGTTTAACGCGCGTATCACAGCTGCCGCTGATGGTAATATACATA